ACAGTATAGTCAACATTTGAAGTGGATCAAAACCTTTCATCAAAGCTGTCCTAAAACCAAAACAATACCTGTTCTTGTCTTAGGACAACTTTGATTAACTTTTTTGATCCACTTCAAATGACTGTATACCATGGTACTGAATGTCTACCATATTAATATAAAATGGTATTTGCATCATGGTACGTCTTTGAACATTTTGTAAGCATCAGGTTATTCTTACTGCAAGTGAGGTAAGCTGGAACAAGACAGGAAGAGGGTGAACAGACCAGCCGCCCAGCTCTCAATCAGGTTGTTTAGCCAAACTTTTACTTCCTTCAGACCGGGAACAGAATGAAGGAACAGCAGCAGAGAATCCATATGCTCATCCAACTCTGGGCATCTAATGAAAAAAATCCATGTATTAGATTATTATTAGACTCTCCCTTGGCCACTGAACCAAACAATGCATTCTTGTATTCATCACCCTGTATGAAGCATACTGATATTGATGCTCATATTGAAAACTGTGACTTAACGTTATAAAGGTAGTTCAGAATTTTCAAGTTTTGACTTTGAAACATAACTATGACTGAAGTCAGTTTAATTAATTCAACTCACTGTTCTGTCAATTGAATGAGTTGGTAAAGCCTTTTGAAAAGAACCTCCCAACTGGCAATAGACCCTTCAAGAGGAGGGAAACTGAGGCTGAGCTTCACCAGTGCCGGTTTGTCCAGTTGATATGAATGTACCGACCCAGATCTGGAAAGAAACATTCATATTCATACAGTAAATGTGCACACAGTAGGATTTAAAATGGTTATGAATTTACATTTCTTTGTCTTGAATTTAAAATAAACTTAATAAAATAATTAAATGACACAGGATATGTCATGCATGAGTTCTAACGCTATATCATAAGCCCATCTGTTCATTGCAAGACTCAATGATGGATTTTTCCTTTCACTGACGTGCATCTTGTACCTGCAATAGATTTGACCAACAGTTAGTTAACGCAACCACCGACAAATCAAGTGAAAGGAAAAGAAACCATGACTTACTCTTCAAATTGCTTTCTAGAGACTGAAAATGTTGAACAGACCCTTTCCTCATCACTAATCATGAGATTGCTCAAATGAAACCTAAAAGGTCATAAATGTGTTAAAAAACAAATCAGTCTGAATTAGTGAACTTAATTTAAGAAATAAATGTACAGCCAAAGAAATCAAAATGTAAATCAGCTGTAAATTTACTGAGAGATTACAGCCTAATATGCAAGCAGTATTATTTTCTCTTACTTTATGTGAGAAATCTTTGGATTGACTTGAAGGTAGGACAGAATCTTAGAAGTCCAAATATCTGTGAGGTACTCAGCTTGTATGTCCACCTCAGTTAAACCAGGAACACAACTTAGGAAAGACAGCAGTGCATCCACATTCACATCAAACTCAGTGTTTTTCCTGGGAACAAATACACAAATATTAGCAGATTATAATATTAAATATTGGGATAATAGCAGAATTGCTAATTAAATTGAGAAGACCTACATGTCTGAGAAGCTCCTGAGGTTATGAGATGTCTTGAGTAAGTCAGTCATGGATATTGCAGAGAAAGGACAAAGACCAAAGGATATTTTTGAAAAACCCTGATAATAACAAAGACCAAGTTTTTCGGAGATTTCATCCTGATGCCCTTCTGAGTGCCCAACAGTAAACCTGAAATTAGGAAGAGCAATTATTCATTATTTTCTATTATTTTCAAATGTATCTTCAAGGGCTTATTTTAGTTACACAATGTAATATTTTTTGTGAATAAATTAAAGAAATATTAACTGAGAATGAATTAATGAACGAATATGAAATATGAATTCAATTACCAGAAGGAATTGTTTTTGCTTGCAATAGTGAACTCTGAGCAAAGACTCTTGTCTATGTTTTCTGCTTGACTGGCAATACATACACTGAGAAATCAAATGAAATCAAGATTAATCTACAGTACAAAAGACCTGGTTTCAGATGTAAAAAATTGTGTGTATGCTTGTTTTGGGGCATGTCTATACAATCCATCTAAAAATGATAAAGCATTCTTCTACTCTTTTATAATTATAACGCATGTAGTTTAATCACCTCACATTAATTGAGAGGCTATATGGAGTATTTATACAAAAACATGCCAAAAGTTGTGAAATGTTGTGATCAGTTACAGCATTTAAAATACATTTTCTTGCTATATCTAAATAAAAGGTATTTGTTACGGTAATGACGCCCAGAGAACATCTATTGCTCCATATCTTAACTCTCTATCACTAAAAGCCAGTGATCAGGTCAAGAACTTAGGAATCATGTTTGATAGCGACCGTAGTTAAAAAAAAAAAAAACATACTAAAACAGCATATTATCACCTTAGAAACATCTACAAAGCACGTGCTTGACATTTTCTCCCCTTCTGACAATGATTTACTTTGTTGTATTTTGTTTTATCTTTTTAATATTACGTGTATGGTTTTTTTCTGTGAATGCACTTTGTAAACACTTTTTGAAAGGTGCTATATAAATAAAGCTTTACTTTATGTAAACGTATGCATATGTTCCCAATTTTTATGTACAAATTTGCCTATATGTACCTACATTTAAACCAGAAACCTTGATGTTCACGTGTTGTCAGCTGCCTGTTTGTGTTTGTCATTGTGTTTGGTTACCTGAACCTTCTTCCCATCTTCTCTTTTACAAGAAAGTTCATGGTTAAATCGACATTGGCGTTGCTGATGCTCCTCACCACCAGCCGAATGTTACCCACTGATGTTTGTCCACTGAGGGTTTTCAGGATCTTCTGCACACTTTCATCTGACAGGCCTCCATCCTCCATACTGCAATGCATTCACAACACTGCTTCACTAATCGTGATGTAGCATAAGAACATAGGTCGCTTCTCTATATTGTCTTCTTTACTATCATTTATAATAGTAAAACATGGATTTATGGTGGATGCATAAATATAAAAAACATAATATCTATAACAACACTGCAGCAGTTGAATTAGTTACCAGATTATGGTTTGACCAGGCCATTTAGTGTCTAAACTCATTTTTGAGAGAACTTTGGCATTGTTGCATTTACAGATATAAGCAGGATAGCATAGAATTCACAACCAAGAGAACGTTACGTCAAATAGCCCACGTTCTTTCTTCTCCCCAGGGCTGATGTCAGGAGGTCAACATCAGCATAAAAAAAAAAAAAAAAAAACAACCTACAAATAAATAAATAAACAAAATCCGTTTTTTAAATGTTGCAAACCAAAGCTCTTATATAGTAAAGAGAACAATAATGAGAATACATGGCATATAAGATGATATAATGGTAACAAAATTTTTTGGACCAGGAGGTCAACATCAGCGTCAGATATTGAATCAAAATCCAACCTACAAATAAATAAATAAACAAAATCCGTTTTTTAAATGTTGCAAACCAAAGCTCTTATATAGTAAAGAGAACAATAATGAGAATACATGGCATATAAGATGATATAATGGTAACAAAATTTTTTGGACACTACTGTGATGGCATTCTTTGAAATACCAAATAAATCCCATTGTAATTGCATGTAATTGCAGAACACTTACGATAGAGTTGTACACCTACAAAGCACAGGGTGAAGCATCTTTAGATCTTTAGCATTGCTTTTGACTTCCATACTCATAATGCGTGAGGAATACTGGAGACAGTACATCACAACCTGACAGTCGACCCCCTTCAAAGACCAGTGGATGTTAATACCTGAGCGTTCCCACAGCTTCATGACTTTCTTCAGTATTTCCCTATCTTGAAGCTCATACAGACAATGGAGAATGAAATCACTCATGTAAAATCTATCCATGATGTTCTTCTCTATAACTTTGCTGATCCATTTCTCCAGCTGTGCGCGAATAACGGTAGATGTCGACTTTGGATGTTCTCCTGGGATTAAACGGTTCACTTTCTTGTTTGAGAGACCAAAAAGGAACCGGATTACAGGTAAGAGATGCTCATTGCGCCTCCCATTGCCTGCTGATTCCAGTAGCTCCTTGACTTTTATTTTCGCCTCTGCCTTGACAGTTAACATGTAGAAGAGAGCGGTGAAGAACTCCTGAAAGCTGAGGTGCAAGAACCCAAACATCTCCTTCAGATAAATTCTCTCTTGCTGGTGAAATGTGCATAGGAAGGGAATATTTGATAAATCTGAGATTGCTTTTGGAAGATTGTTTCTGGAAAAAAGGACTTGGCGTTTTGTTGTTCCACTCTCTGCTAGCTGACCCAGGTCCTTGAGGAGGTTGAGCTCGTCATGCTGATTCAAACTACTGTGATGTTTCAAGAGTGTGAGCACAAAATCAACAAATATGGACGTGGTTGTCGTCAGCTCACTAGTTACAACACCATCCTTCCCTTTTCTCTTGAAAATTGTGCAGATAATCCAGCAGATGACAGGGATGAAGCAAGCCGTGTAGAGCATCTCGTGTATCTTCACCTGCTCGTACACTTGACTTGAAAACTCTTCGTCCTCAAAGAACTTTCGGAAGTATTCACTCACTCCTTTCTCTGAAAATCCCATGATCTCCACAAAGCACTGTGGCTTTTTCAGAACGTTCTCCAGTTTGTCTACAGCGGTGGATCTCGTAGTAACCAGCAGGAAGGACTCTCTCATCATACGTCCTTTCAGAAGAGAGCAAACAATGGCCTGTGAATGGGATATGATGTCTGGTTTTGGAGGCAGCGACTCTTTGGTTCCAGAAAGCATGAGTTCATCAAAACCATCAATGATGAACAAGATCCTCTGTGGTATGTCTTTTAAGATCTGACCAATCTCATTTGGAGTTAAACTACAGTCCAGGAGATCCAGCAGGCTCATCTCACCAGAGAGACCGTTGAGCTCTTTGCATCTAAGATGAAATACTACATCAAAGAATCCAGCGTAGAGCTCTCCAGAGGCCCAGTCCAGAACGATCTTTTGCGCAGTGACTGATTTCCCACTTCCAGAATCACCTTGGAGAATTACAGCTTTTCGAGGCACTTTTTTGGAGCCATTCTCTGGGCCGAAAAGCTGATCACAAATATGGACGTGGTTGTTGTCAGCTCACTAGTTACAACACCATCCTTCCCTTTTCTCTTGTAAATTGTGCAGATAATCCAGCTGATGACAGGGATGAAGCAAGCCGTGTAGAGCATCTCGTGTATCTTCACCTGCTCGTACACTTGACTTGAAAACTCTTCGTCCTCAAAGAACTTTCGGAAGTATTCACTCACTCCTTTCTCTGAAAATCCCATGATCTCCACAAAGCACTGTGGCTTTTTCAGAACGTTCTCCAGTTTGTCTACAGCGGTGGATCTCGTAGTAACCAGCAGGAAGGACTCTCTCATCATACGTCCTTTCAGAAGAGAGCAAACAATGGCCTGTGAATGGGATATGATGTCTGGTTTTGGAGGCAGCGACTCTTTGGTTCCAGAAAGCATGAGTTCATCAAAACCATCAATGATGAACAAGATCCTCTGTGGTATGTCTTTTAAGATCTGACCAATCTCATTTGGAGTTAAACTACAGTCCAGGAGATCCAGCAGGCTCATCTCACCAGAGAGACCGTTGAGCTCTTTGCATCTAAGATGAAATACTACATCAAAGAATCCAGCGTAGAGCTCTCCAGAGGCCCAGTCCAGAACGATCTTTTGCGCAGTGACTGATTTCCCACTTCCAGAATCACCTTGGAGAATTACAGCTTTTCGAGGCACTTTTTTGGAGCCATTCTCTGGGCCGAAAAGCTGATCAAGCCTGATGTTTTGGTTTCTCTGGTTGGTTTCTCTGGTGTTGAAGAATCTTTCCCCTCTAGAGCGCATCTCCGTCTCTCGCTCTTTCTTTTCTCTGTGTTTCTGAATAATCAGCGGGTCAGTGTAGCGATCATTAAGCAGCACCTGTTCACCGGCACGGGAGGTGAATTCTGTAATGTAGGCATACTCGGACAGCAGGGACTTCTTATATTCTGTGATCAATGTGCTAGTATCTGTTAAAAAAAATGTGTTTACACAGCTGTCTTATTACAATTTTTAATCACGGTTATTTCACCCAGCAATATAAACAAATACATTTACATACCCATGATTTCAGTTCCAGGCCCTACAGTAGGAAAAACAAAACTTGAGTTCTGAAATAATATAATCACAAAAAGTGTAACGTTTCATTGCTTTTCATGTCCATTTCTAGTAACATTTTGTACTTTATTGACAACAAATTTAATGTTTCATATGTATGTGGAATTAACAACGATGGGATTAACATTGCAAAAACATTATTTTATGTACTAATATGTACTTTATCCACTTCACATTTTCTCAAATATGAGCAATAATTTCACATGGTAGTGTAAATTAAAGTAGATATTTACAAACCTGTGACTTCAGCTCCAGGTCCTATAGCAGAAACAATAAAACTTAAGTTAAAACAAAATATTACAATATGTATAATAACAAGATATTAGATGTATTATAATTATGTTTTGCTGTGCTACATCCACCAACAGAGAGAGATGCTTACACACACACACCTGTGAAGTAATTATTAGCAATGTTAATATTTCCAGTGACTGTTGAGTTCAATATCACAGGTGCTGAAATACTGCTTCTATTCTGGGCAGTGATACTGATTTTAGAGATCTCGGTATTATGAGGCCCCACAGTTCCTCCTTTGTCTTCTGTGGGAAAGGAAAGAAAAAATAGATCACTAATGTTATTTTTAACTATAGTTTACATGCGAATCAGCAATTTTCTGACTGGCCTAGTTTCATGTGTGACTGTAAGTTACCATAATTAGAGACATCCATCTGCTGTCTTCAGTATATCTGTGCACTCATGTAATCTGAAATGACCAGCTGAACCGGAGGAAAATAGGCAAATATCATGTAAGTGTCAATTATGGGAAAAGGCAAGAACTATTTGATGTTTTGTGTTTCAAGTACTATAATTTAGCAGTATGTACCGGTAGCATAGCTTGGAAATGCCATTTACCCCCAAATGAGTTTAATATATAGCAATGAATACGTGACCAATCACAATAATTTGTTCATACCTCCTTCACAAAAAACTGACCATGGTAACCATAGTTTAAAGAGATGTCACGTGGGTAAAACCGTACTAAACGTGCAGTAGCTAGCATTGTTATAAAAAATGGCAGAAAGAGTCTGAAAGCTTCTTGAATGCGATACTGTATCATTATTATTATGATTTTACTTTAGTAACAGTAATCTTTACACGTGAACAACTGGTAAAATTAAGGAATAGCCTACATCCACAAGAAGAACGTTGGAGTATGTAAAATGATCGTAATAGTTATGTTGAATTATGGCTGACAACAAGCGTTTCTTGAATTAAATGAATCGAAAAGAACTTCAGTACATGAGCTGGTAGATTTATTAGCTTATTAGTTTAGTTTCGCTTTTTATCTGTGTTGAGCAAATTTACTATATAGGCTAAATGGTATTGCAATTATTAGTTTATTAAAAAATGCACTGTTCTAAACGTTATGAAGAACCTTTTCGCGTCTCTTTGTCGATGGAGATGTTTAATAGACGAAATATAGGCTACTGGGAAATTATTTGTATTATTATTAGTTGTAAAGTCAAGAATGTCTTACCTGTAGCATCGCTGTGTAGTTCTGAGCGTTTGTCTTGAAATGATGAGGCTTTCACTTTTCATTTCAAGTGAGACCCGCCTTGAGTGAGCAACATCTTTCTGGGTTTATGTCACGAACTGTATGTAGTCTATACTGAAACTGAAAGCGTTCACTCACCGCATTTCGCATCGTTTCGGTTAAGGACCGCAGTAAAGATAGTTTGCGGTTTGATATTCAGATTTCTTTTGGCTATAAATACGCAGCGCGCTGTCATAGACATGCAAATAATACCGAATATCGTTCTCCATGATTTGTGAATTCAGGTGACGCTGTCCTTCGGGCCGAAATCAGTTTTTTTTTTACGTAGCGACTCTTAATTTTATAATGCCTATAGCTCCAAAAGTTGGACACTTAGAGGAATGAAACCGGTGTCATATTCACCAGCTTGATCTGTGAATTTTTTCACATCAAAGCTCTTGTCCGTTAACCCCTTGGTAAGTCTGCTAGTAAGGAATGTGAAAGAAAGGCGTTCTTCATGTTTAACGTCTATTACCAATAAACACGCAGACTGCTGGAATACAAAAACATTGCTTTAGGTCGAGCTCGATTTGTGAAAACTTTCACAATCGCATTTGATCGTCTGGCAGTGTTTATCTTTGCTCTGCCCCCCGTTTTTTGTAGCCTATAATAATGTCATTCGATGCTGTTCCTGTGAATAACGGTTTCCAATTCATT